GCGGGACGCGCCAGGCTCGGAGGAGACGAGGGCAGCAGCCGCCGGAGTGCGTCCCGCCTGGCGGGTGACCAGGCCAGGCCTCCCTTAAGATCCGCACGCACCGCACAGTCTGAGGTATTCCGCGTCCATCGGGTGTCTGCGCCGCTGCAAGGCAGCGGCTGTCCGGAGCGCACGCCGTCACCATGGTTTACAACAGTCTGAGCGTTAGTAATTCTTACGTTCTTCTTCTCTAGCCAGTCTCTTGATTTTGGAAAAGATCTCAACTACAGTAGAATATTACAGAAAGAAAATATAAATGCGGGGGGGGGGGTTTCTTTCTAAATGAAACTTACGTGGGCTAAACTAGAGTATTTTAAACAAATATACAGTATGCAGGCAGACGAAGCAGGAAAACGGCCATCCAACTGCTTAATAAAAAACTAAGAAAATTTGGCTATTTCCAGGTAAAACTATGAAGCGCCTCAACTAAAAGGAATGCATAATGAAATCCTAATCTAAGACAGGTCAAAAATGTAAAAAGGTTATAAACCTTAACAGGAAAAAAGAAAACAACTTTTACTGGCCATTCCTGTTGAAATGAGAATCTTAAAGTAACAGAAAAGTGGCTACAAACCCACTTAGAGCACCAAACAGAGAGAAAACACGAGTCCATTTTCAATCTCTGTTATGTCAGAAAATCCTGTGTTTCTACAGGTCAAACTGCTGGTGGCAGAAACAGAATTCCTTATAAACTGCAGATGTCCTGTACATTAAAAAATCTCGTTGGAGTCGCACTAGTTCTAAAGACTTTTCTGTTCTAGCCTACCTCCTGCGGTACGGCACGGTACTGCGCGTACGCAACCTCCGACAGAGCGTCTCCTCCTGCAACCCTCGATTATTGTTGGGCACCAAAGATAAGAAAAGCAAGACGGGGTACAAAAATGCAAAATTTCAACAGTAATGGCAATGTTTTGTTTTAGTCCAAAAGGGTCCTGCATTTTCTCCCCCTTCAGCAAGGGACAAAAGGCTTTAATCTGGGGGTAGCAAGTCATGCAAGCGAAATCTGTCTCTGATGTGAGGTCGGACGTCTTCGTTCTGTGAGGGGGACACAAAGAGGCGCAGGGTTTAGGAGAACGAACGCGTCTATCCACCAGGTCTCCGCGGGGCCAGTTTTCGAACGCCGCTATTCTAACGTAAGAACCAGCGAAGGTGTGCAGCCTCTGCGTTTTAAGAGGGAAGGCATCACGGCCAACAGGGGCATTACCTGATCCAAAAGCCTACAGGGTCTCGGTGTCATTACGCCCGGGCTTGCAGTTCTCCATGAAAACCACAGGCAGAAGTAAGGATATCCTCTCCTGCCGTGGGGAATTAGCTCTGTACGGCACCTGACCCACTGCCCAGAGCCCCGTTTCAAAAGGGGACACACGTGACAGGACAAGGGGTAACGGTTTGAACATACAGAGGGAGACGGAGATGGGACATCAGGAAGGAATTCTTCCTGCAGAGGGTGGGAGCACTGGGACAGGTTCCCAGAGAAGCTGTGGATGCCCCATCCCTGGGAGTGCCCAAGGCCAGGCTGGATGAGGCTTGGAGCAACCTGGGCTATGGGTGGGTGTCCCTGCCCATGGCAGGGGGTGGGACTAGGGGGTCTTTGAGGTCCCTTCCAGCCCAAACTGTTCCAGGATTCTATGACTGGAAAGTCTCAGGGACCCAAAATACCTTAAAATACGTGAAAACACTCCAAGAGCTAACTGACATTCTTGGGCGGGGGGTGGGGAAGCGCCAAACAAAGGGAACACTTACCAGCTCTACAAGTTTCTCCAGAAATGGAATCAATTTTAGGAGTTCATTGTCGTTTTTATCCATGAACCAGCTTTCTATAGGGATCCCATTTGAAAGCTAAAGTTAAAAGAAGAAATTAAATCAACAGGTGATTTGTACTTGATTTAGTTGAAAATGGCTCGTGAAAGAGCATTTTGGGTAAAAATGCTTCCAAGCCAGAGTTTACTAATACGGATTTTTCCTGTGAAGTTTGTATTAAAATGGGCTTCCAAAACATCTCCCTCCCTCGCTCACACCGCCTCAAGGATGTCGCCGTCGAGGCCGGCAGGAGTTTACTAATACGGATTTTTCCCGTGAAGTTTGTATTAAAATGAGCTTCCAAAACATCTCCCTCGCTTACACCGCCACAAGGATGTCGCCGTCGAGGCCGGCACAGAACGAGCCCTGGAAATCCTGTGTTTTGAGGAAGCTGAATGTGGAAACACCCGTGGCTACCAACTGCGCTGGCTGCGAGCCCAAGAGGGGTTTGCCTCTCGACTGCAGGTGAGGCAGAGACCCCACTCTGTCTGCGTAACGGGACTACCCGGAGTAGCCACTTCCTGCACTTCTGGGAAAGCACAGGGACAACCTTCCAACGGGCCAGCCTAAGGAACTTCCCTGCCGTGTCACGTCAGCACGCTTACCTGGTAAGCAAAGGCTTGTGGTGAATTGTCGATGATGATGGTTTTTGAAAGATCTCTGCCAAGAATGTTCAAATCCTTTATGTAATTTCCTTGGACACAAACACAATGCTCGCGGAAAAGTCGATGCCTGGAGCAAAGCGAGATACTGAGTGAGGAGACGAATTACAGCACCAACATCGCGGCGGGGAGGAGGAGAGTTAGCTGTGGCAACCGGCACTCGGTCCGTTCCTCTTCTGCCCCACTTCGCTCCCGTTCACGGGCTGTCCCTGTTTTCCCATTCTCCTGGGAGCTTCTCCCTGGTAAAATTACTGGCGCGGTAGCTTTCCGTTAACCCACTTCAGCAGCGGCTGCTGCCTTACACGGGAAAGGCCAGCTCAGCTCTAACGCCTGAGGGCCTGGCAACAGGGTCTGGCTGGAACCGCTGCTGCAGGCAGGCTGACAACGGGACCCCCAACCCGCACGCGATTTTGCAACGCCCCCAAAATCAGAGCTCGGCTCTGCGCAGGAACCAACGTCTGGGGCGTTACTGCGCCCGTGCGCCACCGCTCAATGTGGCAAAACCATTTCTTCTTTAGGTTTCCTCTGTTCAAAATTAACCTATTTCAGTTATTACAGCTTGAAAAAGCACCGAGGCCAAAACATTCCATCAACCTCTCCCTTTCCAATGAGCCTACCCCCTTTCAATTTGTTATGGAAGAAACGCAGAGCAAACGGAGGGACTCGAAGGACTCGGACTGAAAAAACACCCGGAGTAAAACTGGAATTTCATGGCATCTCAACGTAACTACAACGTGAAACTAAACCGTAAACCAGACAGAGCTGGAGTTCACGCAGTCGCGCCAAGCGCAGCTTCTTCAAGGCCGCTCGCACGTGCAGGTGGAGTTTTAGAAGCCTACGCAGCCAGGCTCCCTTCCCAAAGGGGCCGAGTTCCTGACGCTGCCACGGAGGAAAACAAGCTGATGCCTCGGCAGCGCCTGCATCAGCCCCCGAGCCCCCCGTGGGAGCCTCCAGGCTGACGTCACAACTAACCTGTTGGTGGCACGTGGACCGCAGCTACACCCCCGCTCCACAAGAACCCTTCTGCTGCTGGCCACACGTGCCGTCCTCTTCTCCCTCTTCCCACCACAGCCAAGACCCACTCGTACCTATCAGGTTGCTGCAGAACCATTTTTGGGAGGCACACCTGGGCTCGTTTTCTGCACGTGCAAACACCACTCGTCCGTACACCCCGTGGCGGGGTGACGCAGCTAGGATCGGACATCCCATGGCTGAGAGCCTCGGCAAGCCCAGTTCCGTCCGCCGTTCGCAAGGCGGCGGCGGCAAGTTCAGCGCCACCCAACGAGGATTCTGCCGTGCGCCCCACGTGAAAACACGCACAGGACGGCTGCTCCTGGATTTCAAGTAGTGAGCAGTTTCTCTTCACGCTCTAAGGAAAACGAGCTGTGATGTGCCCAAAACGAGCGCAAACGGTAGGTGCAGCCATGGGCTCCACCCCAACGGCCGTTTCACTGGGCGCAGGCCAACACCCGGTTTTTGCTGAGCGGTATGGCAGTGCAACGATGCAGGGAAGCGCTCTGCCCAGCTACAGAAGCCTCACTACGACCAAGGGGGGTAGTTACTCCCCTTGCCTGAGCCTCCTTCCCCATGCCGGCTGCAACCCTGAGAAGAAATCCCTGCAAAGACCGCTCCGTGGTTTCCACCTGCCCCCTGCCAGACTGGGTAACCACCCCTCACCCGCCAGAATTCCCTCCTGCCATAAGGACCTGTCTGGGAGAAATGCCACCACCACAAACCAAGCTCAGTACTGAGAAAGGACTGGAAACCCAAACCCACTTTAATACAAACCCCACAGAGGAACTGTTCAGTGACTGAATGAGAAACAGAAACGTACCAAGGTACCCACACAAGTCATCACTGATAGAGCCGGCATCACTTGTCTCGTTTACAAGTCATAGAATCATAGAATCACTGGGTTGGAAAAGACCTTAGAGATCATCCAGTCCAACCGTATCTGTCCGCCACTAAACCATATCTTTCAGCACCTCATCCACCCGTCTCTTAAACACATCCAGGGATGGTGACTCCACCACCTCCCTGGGCAGCCTGTTCCAGTGTGTGATAACCCTTTCGGTGAAGAACTTCTTCCTTACGTCCATTCACTGGTCATTCACTACTCAGTTTGTTTTCTTTCCTCACGGGTCACAGCTGTCCCAAAACAGCCCAGACACACTTCGGACACCCAAGAGGCCACTTGCTGTGAGCAGGCCCAGCACGCTGCAGCGAACGAGTGGCTGCGCGCTTCGGCCGCCGAGGGCCACGTAAAGCTGCCCGGGTTCAGCTCACCTCCCATCGCCTCAGCTCACTTGCCCCTCACCCTCAGACCAGACGAACCCACAGCGCCAGCGTAGCGAGACGCTGCAGTAACAAACGTGTCACAGTCCCTTTCTTCACCACGGTTGCTAGGAAATCAGTTTGTCTACAACAGCTACGTTCACCATTGCTCAGTTTTACCTGACCAGTTGCTTTTTAGGGTCTAGGATGTTCAGTAACTTGTCTGCGTACACCTTCTTAGAAGCAGTAAACAGAATGATCTATGGATTAAAAGGGAAAAAGTCATTATTTTAGATACAGTATGTGAATATCATTTAAAAAATGAAATTCAGATGTAATGTCCAACTGTTTTTACCTCATAAATCTGAGACATACGTTCCAGGAATTCTCGGAAGAATGGCCTTAACCGGACATAGACCTGAAAGCAGAGACGGACTTTAGCAACGGTTCGAAGTACCTCAGCTCTCACCTGCACCACTGAGCATCGCTCAGCGAAGGTGACGTCAGGCGAATATCAGAATAAACAGCAAACGTTAACCCCCACCGAGTAACAACTCGATGAGAACAGCATTACGTTAGCTGCTGTACGTGAAAGCATAGGATGATAAAATCAGGCTTAATTTGACTGGAAAAAGGGATGGCATTAGGAAAAATTTCAGTCACAATACGGAAGCTGGACAGTCTCTGGCAGACTGACCATCCTGAACCTGCCTTCACCAGCCGGGTGGCAGCAGCTGGATTCCCGGGGACTGTGTGCCAGCACACCCGTCTCCGTAACCTCCTCCACCCACGACTGCACTGTGGGGGTGTCAGAAGGGAGTGAAAAACCAAATGCCTTCGGCCGTTTCCACATTTCCACAAATCCAAATTCCACCGGCACAGAACCGCACGCACACGAAGGACGCCCCGTAAAGAATCGCAGCCTCGAGAGAAGAGATTCCAAGTTGGGATTTAACCCTGATTCAACCCCCAGCACAGGGCTGGGGCGCAGGTGGAGGCACCGACGCAGACCTGCAGCGTCAGGCCCACGGCCCACGCCACGGCAGACGTGAGGGTCTGAAGTTCCGCCTTAAGTCGGCAGAGCAAGCAGTCACTACAGTGACACCGACGAGGAGCAATGCCCAAAAGCTGACAATCTTTAAAAGCCCCCTTAAAGTTGTTTTCTTGGGGTTCTTTCCCCCAAAGTGATCATCACATCCCCTTATTTCGATGGCAACAAAATCTAAATGTGCAAATTCAAAATTGTCATTCGATGTCTTCCTTGTTCAAAACACACAGGACGAAGTCTGTGAAGGAGGAATCGGGAGCAAACATCACTCCCCTGCAATGGCAGTAAGGGATTCAGTACCCCTATAACATATCTGCACACCCGATGACGTTACTGTCGTTTTACAAGGTGAAAACCAGACAGGGAGCTCACCGGCTCGCGTGAAGCCGCACTTACGCACTGCGCTTCCGAGATGAGCGCTCTGCAGCACGGAAAGACCCCTGCCCGGCCCCGCTGCACCCACGTAGCCCCTGACTGGGCAGGCCAGACACCAACTCCAGGTACCCTGACTGCTCCTCGTCTTCCCTAGGGCAGCCGCGACACGCTCTGCTGCACGGATGGATGGCACGTGCAGGCACCCTAGCTCAGGCTGCGTGAGATGCGCACAATGCACGGAGCTGGGGCCTGCTCCAGGCCTGGCAGAGGCTGGACTTGCCGGGGGAATGAGCCCGACTCACTCCTGACCACGTTCGAAGTGACTCAAGGCAAAGACCACCTCAAAACCAAACCGAGCTGCCTCAAGCATAGCTGGCCGTGGCCCTTCAAGGGGCAGAAGTACAATTCCAGAGGTTCAACTGAACTAAAATTCAGTCTTCCCAGCCCAAGCCCAGATTTCTTTGTGGATGCTGCCCAAGAAACACTAAAGCTTCCTGCTTGCAGATCCAAAGCCTGATGGCTCTTCCGTTATTTCCAAGAAACAGAGGGGTTCATTAGAAGAGACAGAATTCACGGGCACCCTTTGCCTCACTCCCCTGCCATAACCACGGGGACAGTGACAGCAAGATGGAATATGCACAGCACCATCTTCACCTGCAGCTGACCTACGAGTTCCAGAACGTCGCTCAAGGACCACAAAACTCAAAGGGAACTACTCTGCGACAGATCCGTGAAGATGCATTCCAAGTGTAGACCTACGGGCATCCCCTCCGAGTGGAACAGGGGGCAGATGATCGGTGTCTGGGACTTGAAGCCAGCAACAGAAACAAAACCTCTTTAGGAGGAAGACAGATGAGTTTCTTTGTAAGATAAGCTGCTTATCTCATTATGCAAAGTAATACAAAGAGTACAGTCTGACGTCTACAGCCGAAGAGCTGAGCATTTCTTCTGTTTCCCAGGCAGGTGTAAGATAGCGCTTAGTGGGTATGGCACTGAAGAAAACTCCCAAACAACTGACAAGGCCTCCTAAAGCCAAGCAACTCCCGCAATCCAGCGTCTCCACCAATCAAAAATCCCTCGAAGTACCCAGCGCACTTGGAGTCTGACTCTCTGGGAGTGAGGAGGTAGAACCGGCAAAGAGTACAGCAAGAGAACGGCGGGGCCGGAAGCCGGCTAACGTCAGGCTCTGAAGACGTCTTCTGTACGGAAAGAAAGGATCGAGAAACGCGGGATGATTTTCCTGCCCAGGCAGGACAGTTCACAGCTGGTGAGCAGCTCTACCTGGGAAACGACACTGGCAGAACTCCGGAGCTCCTGCCTCCGGCTGCTGGCACGGAGACACACCGCTGCTGCTGCTGGAAAGAGCACTGGCGCTCTGAGCAAGGAGCGACTGCAGCGGCATCACTGGCCAACATCACCACGCCGCAGCGGCAATGAACTGTGCTGCTCGGGGTTTCTCGCCCAGGACGAGCCACCCCGCAACATTTGACACCTGTGGTTTATAACCCAGAGGCTGTTAAATGCCAGGCAGTTACTTATCTCTCTTCAAACCAGGTGATAACACACACAGAAAGAGTTTGTACGTTACACAAAATACGAAGGTACGTGTGTTTTTCTACACGTGCTCATTACCTGGTAAATGACATCTTGAAAAAGAACTGGAAAAGTGAGTGCAGCATCTTCTAATTCATTTAGACTACAGTGCACTAATGTTTCATCCTATTAAAAAATACAAAAAGAGAGTATAAAAGAAAGATTGTGAAAAGAATGCTGGAAATAGAAGGCAGTTTCTGGATTATCATACTCATTTTAAGGTAGGTTTATTTAGCCCGGAAAATTTGTTTCTGTGTGAGGGCTGTCAAGATTGACGATGAATTCTTAGAATGAATTATACATGTCATTATTCTGGCAGTTTTTGAAAAATGCCCACTCCGAACTGTACGCTGGGGGCATCACTGTAAGGAGAGATTTTGATTTTGCAGGTGCTGTCGTCCCGTTCAGATCTGCACCTCCCAACCTGAGCAACCTCTCCGTTCACACGGCCGCTGGAGCACATGCTCGCGATAAAATGGTGTTCCCGACACCACAGCAGGGTCTGAAACACTTTCAAAACAGACTGAAAGGAGTTACTATAGGGACAAATACATTTTCTTGGAATCTTTTAAAAGTGGAGTTGTGCCCTCTAAGAATAAGAACGTTCTAAGAATTAAAAGAGTCATTCTTGACCAATCTTGACGCAAGACACATGAAGCTGAATTTTCCTGTTTACTGCATCCTGTTTTTTTCCACACTGGACTTAGGAAAGCTTTACGGGCAGAGGGAATCCCTTGTGCGAGGTGGCAGAAACTGCAGCACTGGTTTTTAAACAGGACGTTACGCCTTCCACACCACCAGCCAGCAGCCTGCTCGTGCCACTATTAATTTTTTTCAATGCAAACTCTAAGTACCAAAAATTGTGTAACATTCAACAAGGCCTTTTCATTCAAAGCAAATATTACCAATTTCAGCAACGAACAAAACCAATGGGATGCTACAAATCCCCTGCCTTTGGTGTGGGTTCATAAAGTTATTTACCAAGTCTAGAACTAATGAGAATTCTGGTGTGCTCCTTGTTTTCAGTGGAAGAGCTGGCTTCCTGTTCAGCTGTTCTTCTGTTAGTGGTGGAACATGTTTGATGAAGTAATACCTGAAAGAAGACAGATTCTGCTGTAGAAATGCGTACTCATTACTGAACTGGAAAGGTTGTAGCCCAACTTAGTATTTCAAATATTTCAGGCTGTACAAGAAGTAAGTATTTTAAACTGGAAACTCCTCCCCTACATCAATATACACTTATTTAAGAGCTTTTGGGATTCCTTGCCATAATATAAAAATGTGCCAGTTTAAATAAAAATGTCTCCAAATTACCAATTTCAGATTTTCAGTACAAACATCAGCACTTACGGATCAAAGACTTCCCAGTCTTCTTCATAGGTGGCTTCTGCGTGAGCTGATGAGTAGCCACTGTCTGGAGATACTGGTGCTAAAAAGCAACGAAAATGACCAAAACAAAAACAAAACAAAACAAAAAAAACACAAGAGCTAGTCTTATTAGTGCAGTTTTGAAAAGGGAAAATTTGCACTTGATACACGAGCGCCTCAAACAGGGAACAGCAACCCCCTTCGGCCCCAGCCCCGCAGGCCCCGTCCCATCAGAGACGGCCTCTGCCTAAGGTCACAGCTACCCCGACCGCGGTCCTCAAACCTCCGTGCTGCCTCACTACTGTTGTGTGGGGGCTGGGGGTTTGGGATAACTGTGAAGAACACGATGCTGGCCATCCACAGAGGAGCTGAATTTTATGGATACAATTTTTCTCAAAACAGATGCCTGACGAGTCTTTTGAAGAGAGTGTGGGCAGCTCACACAGGATCTGCATGTTCCTCATTCACCCCACCACGCTGCTCCCATACAAGGTGCCACAACGCTGCCAAGTTCTCTCCCGTGATCGGCAAGTCACGTGTGTGTTTTTAGTGGGGGGTTCAATATAACAACAATGCCTTTCTCCTGGAATCTTTGTTGGCATTTGAATGTTATGAGGTTAACTGAGTTACACTGGGAATAGATGAGACTGGCCAAAACGGTGTCTTTGGAGCCTATTAAACTTAAAAATCAATATTAATACTGCCTGCATGGGGCAGGCAAATGTGAAGTATCCATTCATACAAAATGCAGGTGCTAGGACTCCCCTAAGAGCACAAATTTCACTGCTCCAACGCCCGAGCCCAAGGCCACACACATTCCTTACCTGTAAGTGGCGGGAGGTCGCGGTCATTGGTTTCCTCCACCTCTAAGCCGTTGTTGACGGCAGATCTGACCTGCACCGCCTGGCTAGAGTAGGCCGCTCCGTTTGTCGATGTCGCGGTACTTGTAGTAATCTCATCTACCTGCTCCATATCAAGCTGCTTCACTATTTCTTCAGCTTCAACAGCTTGTCCTGGGGAATCGGATCCCGATGTTCCTGAAGCAAGATTGCAGCACACTCAGTCACTGCTTTAAGCTGAGTTACCTACCAGAACATCCATCGGCGTTACTGACCACACGCAGAGCGTTTCAGACTAACTGCAGGCGGCTGCCTTCACTCCACGTTACAAAACCAAGAACCAGACGAAGACCATGACAAATGGCTTCACATTTGGGACAATGATCTACTGTGGTTTTTTTTAAATAAAAGGTACCTGCTGGATATCTACACCTATGGAAGCAGTTCCAATGCAGAGAAACCTGTTGCTGCTTTTATTAGTGACCAACCCTTCTAAGAACGAGGGGGGCCTTCCATCTGGGAGCAGTAACTCTCGTTCTGTAAATCGGAATGGGACGTGTCCTGCCACTCAACCGGCTGCTTCTTAAAAAAAAAGTCCGTCATTCTTAGCTTGAACACTCTTGACTTTTTCAATAATACTTACCATTTTTATTTGCTGGTGAAAAAAAATTGAAAACAGGAGAAAATATGGTTCCCAGTAGGGTAGTTCGTGGGGGACTGCCAGTAGGAGGGTTATCTTCTAATTTTCCATTTTGCTTCACATGTTGGTTTGTCATTTCATAACTTCCAGCTTCTGCAAAAGAAAAGGTATGAAGTGTACCACCACGCTTCTGATTTACACTTACACCCGCTCCTTCCACGGGCATGGGAGAAAGTGCCAGTGGAACTCCAGTGCCTGAACCTCCAGCGTCACAAGGTCAAGGCCATAGTTTATCATTCTCCACATATATCTATACACACATAAATGCACAAACACATCAAGGAAAACAATTTTTAGTTGTTAGCTTAGCTCACAAAGGACACAGAATTAAATAAATCTTCAGATTACAAAGCAAAACACCTAACAACTACGGATTTCTATAAATGTGCACGTGGAGTTCACCCCAGAACTGAAAGTTGCCACCTCCCGGCCGAGATCCAAGACACAGTTCTGAGACTGAAATCAGAGAAGTTATTTACTTCACAGCACTGAGTCTTTGAGATGTCTGGCCATGAGGAAGTAACCAAATGCATCTTGTGCACACGAGTTGAGAACCTTTCCGAGCCTGATGGAGCTGCAAAGCCCTTCACGCCGCCTCTCCTTTCCACGTAAGTGCAGGGCGTGCCAGCTGCACGCCAGCGCCGACACTACCGTAAAATATTTCAGCTGAGAACTTCATGTCGCTGAAACAGTAACGTGGGCTCAGCGTGCCCACCTCTGGGCACAAGTCAACAGTTTCAGCTTTGAGCACTGGCTGGTTGCATCACACGAGGAGTGGGTGCATCTCCATGGTCTCACCAGGAGGCGGAAAACCTTCACTGACAGTAGCAAATACCGGGAAAAGGGGTTTCTCCTAAAGCCATGTCACCCAGACATCTGACAACAACCAACTCACACCATAACCCTTCCATCACGGAGTCGCTCACGTGGAGCTCCAGTCTCCAGTCAGCGACCAATTTTGCCAACGCAGTTGGACTATGAAACCGCTGACACCTCTGCCTTGCTGGCAAACTTGGCAGAATCCAGACAGCGGGCTCCCAGGTTACTGGGGGAATGGAGAATGAACACTGACAGGCTGTGTGACAGAACAGTCACATTAAGTCTTGTTTCCTTAGAAAAGAGGTCTAAAAAATGGGGTTTTTTCAAGTCAGATTTGGAACCACAGCTGGTACTTTAAATGTCGTTGACCGTTTTATCATATCGTTATCAGAGATACTCAAAACGAAACCATTTTCACAGGGAACAGGGATGTGGAATCTCCATCCTTGGAGATACTCAAAATTTGACTGGACAAGGGTCTGAGCAGCCCGATCAAACTCCAAAGTCTGATCTCGCTTCCAGACGGATCGGCGCTGCTGCGAAGGGAGCAAGGGCATTGCCCCAGATGACCTTCCGACCTCAGTTTTCTATGACAGAAACCCATCGATGTGTTTGACAACTGCTTTCAGTATTTCAGGACACCTGGTTACTTCCACAAAGGTCATGAGTTGGGAACCCATATTCCACTTTTTTTTTGGTGAGACAACGGGAGAAGAGTTAATCAAGTAATTATCACTGGTTTATCAGAGTAATACATATATATTTTTAAAGTTGAATTATCACAGAATGGTTTGGGCTGGAAGGGACCTTAAAGCCCGCTCAGTCCCACCCCCCGCCATGGGCAGGGACACCTTCCACTAGACCAGGTTGCTCCACGCCTCCTCCAGCCTGGCCTTGGACACTCCCAGGGATGAGGCATCCACAGCTTCTCTGGGCAGAATTAGTTCCAAAACAGATGGTCAGGATCACACACTCACATAGTTCTGACCAGACACAATGGCTATGTCTGAGAAGGACTGCTGCTTACAGTCCAGAAATCTTACTTTGCTACTCTTAGCTCAGCCTCGCTCTCACTGTGGTCAGTCACACAGCCCTCCGCAACCGCCCCCACTGTGGAAGTGTCCTGTACCGGGTACCAGCTGTACGACCCCGAGGGCAGCAATGCACGATTCCAACATTTACCAACCTCCGTTCATTTGACTTTTCCGTCGCACTCGGGAGATCTGTTTATTAGGCTTTTCTCCTGTCTGAGGTGTGGACGTAATCAAGTTGTTATCTATATCCCGTTCAATTCTACTTCTTTTTGCAGGATTTTCTCTTTCTTCCTTAAAACAGAAAAGGGGGAAAAAAGAAACATACTGAATCGTGCCTCTTTTCTCTCCTGAATGCTCCCAGAAAACGTTAGCTGTTAGTTCCACAAAAGACCCGTTTGCTGTTCCCCTTCCAGATGCAGAATATGGAGCAGGTCCCTGGCCAGCTGGAACTTCAAACTCTTTAAACTGACACAGCTCATGGTAAATAGCAGAGTATCGGGAAAGAAAACTGCGCTTGGACCGTCTGCAGCAGGATGACCATCCAGGTACTGTTTCACTGGACAGCCAAGTGCTTCAGGGTTCGGGAAACGTAGAGACAAGGCAACTAAAATTACCTGAAACTTGATTTCTCTGCCTGTTAAACAGACAGGAAGGAAACTGCACAACAACATTCCATATGAAATTCCCCCCACGGCCCCTGCAGAAAGCAGCTTGCTGATCTGCACACCGGTAGGTAACCTGCTGCTACTCGATCCCTGTCAGATAGTAGAGGGCAACCCTCAGCTGCTACAACGCTGCAAGCACTAAGGGTTATGACCCACTGATTCTTCTCACCTTAAGTAAAGGACTGTTCTGCCCCGTGGCACTTAGGTGAAGGCACAGAACTGGACTTTTGTGCATATTTTCTGTGCACAGGTATAATGAAGGCACACGGTTAAGGCAGGTTTCCTTCCCTTTTTCCCCAAAGGGCCTACTACAACCTGATAAAACAGCAGTCTGAAATCTAAAGCATGACCATATAGAGTACACTGAAACGTAAGGTGTGAGACAATGCAAAACACATTGAATCAAGCACCAAAATAAATAAGAAGGCCACAGACCATATCAAAGTTAATTAAGATTTCAATCTTAGAATTACAATGTTACCTTTCTTGAGCAGCACTTTCACATCTTTAAAAAGAAAAATGGTTTGCGTGCTCCAAAAATAAAGTAGATAGACCTCTTAGAAAAATTAATCTAAAGCCAGTGCTAGCAGGGCAGTAGCTAAACTAACAAATGTGGAAACATGTTGGCATCTGTAACAGAAGTGAAGTGAACCCAAAAGCTTCCAACTGGCAATAAGCCTGACCAACAATCTTGGTGAGAACAGTCTCATTACTAGCACCTAGAATTAATAGTAGTCTATATACTGTAAATCCACACAACGAGAGAAAACGAATGGCTCAGGGAACTGATAAAAGAGCAGTCAGGCACCTCATCTTCTAGGCCATTTGTTCAAATGTTCAACACCGGGGGAAAACCCAGAGAAATTAGGTAACTTCTCAAAGCGATCCACTGGCCTGCATAAAGTGAGCTGTGCTCTCATTCTGCTCCACGGGCAACAAGCGGAAAAACGTTAGACAAACTCCAAGGGAAACAGGAAACCTGGGGGATGGTATCAGCCGAGGCATAAAGAATCCACTAAACCTGGAGATGCCTTTCAGCTCCTGAAGAGGGGCTATCGTCATGCGGTGGGAAGGCTCGCTCCGCCGTGCCCGCCCTGCACGGGTTAACGGGACTCAGAGGGCAATCGGATGTAAAGGTCCTGTGCTACTTGGCTTAGACACTGAAAGTTTTGTTGCACAGATACAGAATTCAGTACGCCTGTGATAGGTGTTTGTATCACCATCTACTTGAATCCTGTGACCCTTCAATTCACTACAACCTATTATTATCAATCACTGTGCCCTAAGAACACGGCAATGTCACGCCAACACAAACACTTTGGGCTGTTTTCAGAGACCAGGATTGTGCTAAGGAAAGGCCTAAGCTGAGGCTAGAAGCAATGACAGAACATTCGAAGCCACTGCAGTTTCTGACATCAAAATCAAACGAGTTCAGAGGAACTTGGAACAGCGAGTTCTACAGCATTTCCAACGCCAACATGTACAGATTTTAATAATCCTGTACACACACGTGCACCGGTTTTCCTGCTACGATGGACTTGTCACTTTGTAAACAACAAACACTACTGCGCATCCCATACTACCGCTGACTGGCACGGGGCTGTGAGTCAGGATCAGAGCTGTCACATTCCTCAGTCAAAGGGCCACATCTCAGTCCCTGATTAACTAAACGCCTGTACGTTTTTCAGCTTTGGTTTAAGGCATGCGACTAGCAAGACGTCTTTTCGATACCTGCCAAAGGGCCTGTGACTATGACTGGGACTGTCCAGATCCACTTGCTACGCAGACATTTTCTGCGTAAGCCTTTACAGCCTTAGCAGTGATTTAGATTTTAGCGCAGCCATAAGCCAACTGCTCCACAAGTTACACCCAGACACGTCTCAAAGAGTTCTAGCGTTGCCATGGCAGCCACAAGACTACTTTGTGAAGTCATCAGTGCTTTGGAAGATAGCCCGGCAGTGTCAATATCATGCCACGCTAATGCCACTGGAACCACTCCAAGCCCTGCTACAGGCACAGGAGGGGACACTGAAGGGAACGGGGTGGGGGGGGAAAAATGCAGACATCTGATACTCAAAAACCTGTCAGGAAAGAAAAGAATGAAATGTAATCCAAAGGTTTGGGAGAGGAAGAGGGGAAGAGAGAAAGTTAACAAAGCCTTAAAGAGACAAAGGAAAGGGAAACAAGACATATTTCTCTTATCTTAACATTCCAATGTCAAATGTTTTGCTTGGATTTCAGTGTTTTGTTGCAGTGGTTTTGCAGCCAAAATGCTGCACTACTGAGCTACACGCAGATGCTGAATGTAAAATTGATTAGTTGTCCCGGCTTAATGAAAACCAAAATGGGTTTATCCAATTATTTCTACTAAAACACTTTCTTTGTTGGTACCTCAAAGTTTCTACCACAGATAATTAAATACATGCCATGAAATAGGAACTTCCACTATATTTCTGACAACTGAAGAATGTACTGTTACTTTAATTAAAATTATTTCAACCTCAGCTTGTTACAAAATCATCATTTCTACACCCAGAAAAAACTCCTCAATTTCTATCTTATGTTTATTTATCACAGAGTCAATCTGGGATACATTTTACTTCAGTTATGGCTGCTCAGCTACTCTCCTTTAAAATTTACAGCTCCGTAATGTCAATATTTGGGACTGAACGAAGTTGGGTTTTCTAACTGGTCTCCCCTTACAGAAAGAAGCCACAGGCTTTGGAAGCAATTGCAAGGTTCCATTCAGCCTATCAAAGTAATATATATAATCACCCTCAAAACATACACGCAACAGGTTTTAACATGTGAAGATTAGTGAAATTCAGACCCCTGCCTGGACCAAGACATGAGATTTAGTGGTTTAGCCCTGACGACGGTTGAATTCAATCCACTAAGCACGGGCAGTTTTCATGGCAACACGGCGCTGAGTAGTCGTACCAACTTCATGACAGCTGAATTGTGAGGTTTCACCTTTACCGAGTGACAGACTCCTAAACAATTCTGAATAAAAATGCTAAAATTATTCAGCAAATGTATGCTTACAGACGTGCTTTTCTCAGTGGCCAGTACTGGCAATTCCCAAGGTCAAGGAATCCTTAAAACAGAAATTCAAGATCTACTGCATTTGTTGGTCAACATTTTCACAAAGGAACCCCCAACAACCCTGTGATTTACTGGCTTGTCTTAAATATGCCCACAACTGACTCCTGTAGGGTTTGAAAGTTACGGGGTTTTTTGGTAATACCTCTTACCTGGCACAACTGTCACGGGTACTTCTGGCCTTCCAATTCTTTACAAGAATATTTTGCTCCCACCACACTACACGTCAATATATTCTTAATAGAAATGGCTTTAAATCAAATTTAACCGAATATGACCCCATTAAAAACCAAAAGAAACCCGCTGGTGGTGTACCTTGGGTGTGCTTCCTTTAATAAACTTTTTGATTGAAGACAACAAGCCAGTTTCATTTTTCTGCGGTTTTCCTCTGCCGACAGGTAAGCTCTCTTCCACCTCCGAACGTTTCCTCTTTGCCCTCAAAGCGCGTTGCGTGTGAATTTGATTTGACTGCTGAGAAGCCTTCCGCGTTCTCAGCCTCATTTTCATGTGTGCCACATGTAAAGCTATAAAAGGAAAAAACAGGAATACTTAGTCATTGAAGAAGTCTATTAAGCTTCATATCATGAATTCAAAAACTTATATAACCCTGTTCTGATGCACCGAGCTTTTGCACCCCTAGCTATGGCTTGATTTATATCAAAGAGAAGAGCTATTTCAGTTAAAGTATAACATTGGCAGGAGAACAAATGAATCTAAACTGGCCACGGACACATCTAACCATTAGCTCAATGAGGTTTTGCATAACCCTCCAATCTGAGTAGTACGAACAAAAAATCTGCCTGCTCTTAAGACGAAAAGGATTGCATGGCATCTTCAGCAACAAATGACTAGACTCAGTGACCTAGGCAGTCCTTTCCAGCTCTGTGCTCCTCACAACTTCACGTTAAGGCTCTACATTTAATGTGAGATGAGGCATAAACCGAAACCTGTGTCAAGTGTTCACGGAATTATTCATAAATGAGACTATGCACTCAGTATGGGTGAGGATATAGCAGCTCAGCAAAGGACCCGAAGGTTCATCTTCAATACAACTGCATTTGGGAATATGATCAGACCACAGGAAGAGTCCTGCCAGGGCAGTATTTATTAAAGCAGAGTAGAAAGCCATTCCAGGGAACGCGTCCCATTTATCTCCAACCTTCAGCTGGACTGCTGGTATAGTCAAATTTGTGCATAAATAAGTGCTTTTCTGGGCTGAGGGATATGCTTTCTGCAGTTGGCTGAAGCTCATGCCTGGGCCGAGTTGAACGGGATTGCTCATGTACTTTAAAGGATGCATATCCATGACAGAAGCAGAAAAAAATCCACCTGGGCTGTGAGGCACAGAGATACTGGTCACAAAGTAACAGGCATTTCCCCACTGAAGTCATGACAGAAGCGTTTTTTTAAAGGAACACCTACCCCGACAGGGATCAGCACCTGCTTCTCCGAAGTTCGTTTAGGCTGTGTCGCATTGCTGAACGGACAGAACACACCACCTGTCACGTTCCGAACAGGAGTGGTGTCCCAACAGCTACCTTGATCAGGAGAAGGCAGCAGCGGCACTGCTAGGATGCACAGACACCGAAATACTGGGATGTTGTTTCTCAAACCCAGCCCAAAAGCTGCACACAGTTGCATTTGCTCACAGTTAGATAAACCTCAAACGAAAGCTGCTCCAGCTAACGAAGAACAACAGAACCAGCGACACTATTTTTAGAAGACGTTGCCAAAGAAGCACTCGCTCGGCACGGCCAGGTGCCAGCAAACACGGGTTGCACTGCTCACGCACACCTCCAGCACCTTCCGTGGTCCCTACTCCAGCGCTTCACCGACGGGGAAAGGCCAAGAGCTCCGGGCTACGGCAGGTTTAGGGGACAACAGCAACCGCAGTCCGCGTTGAAGGCACTGGTTCCTTACAATCTTGCGCCCTCTAGTAACAGAAGCGTTAAACCTCGGAGTCCATGAGAGCATCCTTTCACTATTACACGTGCCATAAAATTTGCATTTCCTGTAGAAGAATCTACTGTATGTGGGAAAAAGTAATGCAGAGAAATAATGAAAAGAATCCCCACAGATCTTAATCCAATTTTCTGTTCCTACGCCTTGCCACTAGAAAAATCAAAAGATAAAGCTAACAAATGTAATAATATCTTACACAAGATGTAAAATAAACGTGCCTGTTATCAGAACTTGCATCTCGACTTCTCTTCATCACACACTGCTGCCAGTTTAATTTTTTGGGTGTGATTTATAGCGGGAAGGAGCCACAAGAGACACACGCTCCTACAGTACTTCCATACAATTCCGGAGGAATTATAGAACTGAGGAAATTGTCAAATATCAACAGGCAGGATGCTCCAAAGGCACCTTAAAACATGTATTTTCACTTCAGAAACAGTGAGGAAAGCGTTCTTTTTTTATCAGCACTGTGTGCATTAAATCACGTACTCCGAGCTAGCACGACTTACCAAGCCCACATTACCCTAGGTGGCTGAAAAAAGAACAATTACATTTAAGGTTTCTCAGTGCTCTTGTAGGTGGGAGATGAACTAATTCACAGCCCTAGCAGGAAATACAGCCCGAGAGAGAAAACGGCCATTAAACTTTCAAACCAAATAGTTTAAATATATTGATGCTTCCAGTTAAACAGCAATTTGTTGGAATGAAGTTAGAGAAAAACAACATTGTTTTGCCATGTTAAAAATATTCAAAAACTCCCCAAGGAGGTCTAGTCCTTCCATGCTTTGAAAGGGGAATTTCATTAGCAGTATTATCAACCTGTTTAGGAATTAATTTGGTTGAACTACAACTCTGAAATTCTTCCATCTGTGCAAGGAGACACCTCTTAGACCACAGGCAGCGAGAAGACAGGAGAAGAGGAGCGATGACAGGACAGAGAAGCGATGGGTGACGACAGCAGAGTCAAAGACTTCAGCCATCCCAGCTTCCACTGGTTTCCAACGGGTACCTGGAGCCACAGCACGAGGCTCGTCACAGCACCCACATGCCAGCCAGCCCTGTGCCAGCCAGCGTGACTAACCCCGCTTTGTCTGCATTCCACAGGTTGAAGGGATGTGTGTTTGCCGCCCGTCCTGCCCGGAAGCCCTGTGTGCCAGGCACAGACACAGAGCAAGGGGCAGCCCGTGCCCACAGCCGTCCCCTGGGCACAGGAAACGTGTTTATGTCGAGAAGTCCAGAAGTGGTAAAAGGGGAATAAAACCAGGTATAGGAAGAAAGGTACATGGATGTGTAAAGATCAGAGCAAACTTCTCAAAGGTACTTTAGGATATGGTAGGATGACATGAGGGAACCAGCAGCTCGTTCCTGCTCCCCCCTT